ACTAATGTTGTTTTTATTGGGCATCATTTAATTGATAAATGAGCACAGATATAACAGATTAAGGAAAAAGCCAAATCGGATAAGGAAAGAGTTGGCTTGAGTCAATATTTTAAAAGAATTGACAATATTAGTATTTGGTCAATCTATTTATAATAATTGTTTAAGCAAAATTATAATATTTCGGTCACAATAAAAATTATTCTCAGGGACACGAGGATTCTTTTAATAGTCAAGTTTTCTGTTTATAATTGTCAAGTTCTTTAATTAGAACTAAGTTTGACCGCATTTTTTCGTCAAAATCTGCCTAGTCTTGATACAATCATTTTACTAATTATGATGTTATAAATCTTTATTACTTATGCATTCTGATAGGTACAGATAAGACTATAATAATGATAGTCCCTAATCTCAATATGTTGGCCATACGGTAAGACGAAATATCATAATCTTACTCTTCAATTTCTTTCCTGCCTTCCAATTGATCTCGTGTCCAGTCTATGCCATATGATCCGTCGTTTTCTTACTTGTTCTTGTAATTTTTGAGCTCATTTGACAGAGATAGCCGTATCCACTTTGGTGTATCGTTCTTAATTCTCGTTTTCCTTAATGCTCCTTATCCTGTAATCGGATTTTAACAGATGGTTTTTTTCTCTGCATTACTTATCTTGAGTATCCGCTTCCATACAATAGTCCTAATCAACTAGTTCGATTCTTTTCTCAGAATCCCACTTTCGTAAATCGTATGCTTCTTATGCTCATGCTCGTCATTATTCCGATACTTAGTCTTTTATTGTGCGGAGACTGGAAATTGAGTATTATTGCGGCATATGACTTTCCTTTGAGCAATCTTTGATTGAGAGTTCCATGTTATTGAATAACTTCAGCATTGAGGAGTAATTACTCTCCTGAAAGGGCTTACTGAGATCCTTCCCCTGCCTCCATTCATAAGTTAATATAAACTTATAATGCGGAGAGCAATAGGTTATTTAAAGTAGGAAGAGAGGCTTCGGTTCAATGACCCTCTTATGATAATAGTGTTAGGAAGACCTTCCTTTCGTATAAAAGTGGATGAATAAAGGATGCATAAATTGATCTTATCAGAAGACCACGGCTGATTC